ACGGCTTTCAGAGCAATCAAGTTTGCATGATCATGCGTGGAGCAACAAGATAGTTACGTTCATAAAGATGGGTGGGCTGCATGAAATGCAATGAAGAAATGAATTCCAAACCCTTGAAGGCCCTTTATACTGGATCGAGAGTGTCACTGGTGGGAGAGCACTTGCCTAGCGTGTGGGAGGTTCTGGAGTTCATACAGAACTGCAAAAAAATAAAATAAAGGCACGAACTAAAGGTACAACTAATTAACAGATACCATTTGCTATTCTATGCTGTATGGGAGGATATCTACCCATCTTAGATTTACTGGCAGGCTCTGAATCCAACCAACAAAAGGCAGGTTAAGAAGAGAAAACCAACAGAAGCTTGTGCAGGTGCCTGATGGGCAGGGTACACTCCAGGGGCAGCTGAGGGGAGCTGGGCTGGGCCTGAGGGCCATTAGGGAAGAGCACCAAGTACTGGCAAAATGACAGCCCCGAAGGAAAGGACCATGGGGTTTCCAGAGCAGACAGAAAGGGACTGGCAACAGAGGAGGGCAACTGGGTGCCATCTGTCTTGTAGGTTTCTTGGTGCTTCTCAGCCTGAGGAGGACTCAGTACTCCCTCAGATGATTAGCTTCTGGCCTTCCTGGAGACAGGGGAGGTGGACATCTTTGTGCCCCTTTAGGTGCAATGCACAGTGCTTTAAAAGATATATGCATTGGGACTGGGAATGTGGCTTAGTGGTAGAGTGCCTGCCCAGCATGCACAAAGCCCTGGGTTCGATTCCTCAGCACCACATACACAGAAAAAGCCAGTAATGACGCTGTGGTGCAAGTGGTAGAGTGCTAGCCTTGAACAAAAGCAGCTTAGGGACAGTGCTCAGGCCCTGAGTTCAAGCCCCAGGACTGGCCAAAAAAAAAATGTATATATATATGTATGTATGTATATGCCTCTACCTCTATGCTGTTGCCTTCCAGCTCAAAATAATCCTTATGCCAACAACTGACTTTTGGGGGGGGTTGGCACACACTGGCATCACCTCTCTGGACAGGGAATGGAAAAGCATGCTTCTCTGCTCTTGTCCAGCAGTAGGACACTGCCCCCTGGTGGCCATGGCTTTACACCTGTCAAGACCGTCACTTTACTGTTTGATATAATGAAGTTGTTATGGTTTGGATGTGTCCCTCAAAAATTCATTGAAAGCAGAATTCCCAGTTTCACACATCCATGGGACTTGGAGGCGGGCCCCTGAGAGGTAATTGTGATTCGATGAGGTCAGGATTGGGCCTCCTGATGCCAACGGTGGCAAGCAGAGCTGCTGCCTGGTCCTGTGATGCTCCACCATGTTAGCAAGAAGGCTCTGGCTAGAGGTTGGCATTTGTCAGCATAACAACATGAGCTAACTAAATCTCTGTGTGTTATACATTACCAGTGTGTGGTATTCAGTTACAGCAACAGAAAACGAAGAGAATTACATTCTACAAATGCCAGGAGAAAGCAAACTATTAGGGAAACAGGAAAGCAAATAGACTATTTACCCTCAGCTGTGACAGCAGCCTTCCAAGCTTTAGGCTTGCAGCATGAAGTTACTAAAACAAACAACAAGATGCATTTCTTTAGAGCAGCGCAGGGAGTTGGAATTGTGCTGCCTGTTCAGTGAATAATGGTTCATCTTTTTATTGTGCTATTTTTCATATGCTAAATATTATCTTCCAATCTAACCTCACATGTTTAAATACACACAGATGGGGGCTGGGAAGGTGGCTCAGTGGGGGAGCGCTTGCCTTGCATGCCTGAGGCCCTGAGTTCGATTCCTCAGCACCACATAAGCAAAAAAAAATGCCGGAAGTGGTGCTGTGGCTCAAGTGGTAGAGTGCTAGCCTTGAGCTGAAGAGCTGAGGGACAGCGCCCAGGCCCAGAGTTCAGGCCCCACGACCGGACCCAAAAAAAAATACACACGGATGCTTGTTTTTTTCTCACGCAAGGGAATGATGCTTAAATAACTTGCTATGGTTACCATAGCTAAGTGGATTCAAACTTGTACAGTGTGGCTTGAAAGTGTGTGTGTGTAGCCAGTGTACACAACCTTGTGCCAATCAGTCCTTGCCCAAATAAGACTTCCAGTAAACTGCAGCGAATACTCCAACTGGACTGCACCTGACACTGTGACTGGCCCTGCTCCATTGCTTCTCGTGGTTGTGCAACGCGTGAACTCAGCCTCTGAACCTCAGG